AAAATGGTTATTTATTGAATGACAATCTTTTTGTATGTATCGTAACAGAGTGGAATCCAGGCTACTCAGCCATTTAAGGCGAATCTGCTGGGGCGAGTGTTAGGATTCTGTGGCTCAGGTGGTTAAGCAACAGACCGAATATCTTAAACCCTATTTTGTGAAGACGTAAGTTCGATTTCCACCAGAGATCGGATCTCTTAGTCATTATATAAAGTTTTGTCGATATGACAAGGATTCGCATAATGCTCACGACATTATATCATTATATGAAATAAAATCAACGATGTCTGGTTAAAATGTTTTTGACCGACTGATCGACTAGAGTGCATTATTAAGCTACCTTATTAAGCTAGCTTTTAGAAAACATCGTCAAAAATGCGCTAAAAATCGTATGTTTGATTCAGAATCGTTTAACATTTTCATAACCAAGGGGAGAACAACGTTCCGTAAAATATTTTACATAAAAATCTACACCGATTCGATCTATTTTAAACCAAGGGTGCGGAACAGATCATTTAATTTCGGCTTATTTTAGTCGACTTATTTCATTCGCTTTATTAAGCCTAGCTTTGCTACCAAGGATTTTAAGCCTTAAGAAAATCAATTTGAAATTTTTTACAATAAGTTGTCGTCCCCCTGATCATAACCCTCTCTGTCTCTAGAAAAAACGTATGCTAGCAACTCGGTACAACCATAATTCAATTTAATAAAATGAAACCATAAACAAAAGATTGAATAATTTGATAAAAACGGGAAAACTTTACAATTAATTTAAAAAAAAATCCGCAGCAATGCATACATGTGAAAAAACTTTCAATCCTTAAAAAAAATCTCATTCATCTCAGTTCCATGATTTCTCCATTCGCTTATTAAATTTAATCACGTTTTTCTTTTTGCATTCAATTTCACCACTTGAAAAAAAAAGGAATTATGCTTCATGTACATTTCTTTTCATCCAGTTATTTCATTTTACACTTTTATATGCTGTGCACACAAATTAATTATAACCAAGGGGCGCGTTGATTCAAAGCAATTACTTTCTGGATCAAAAAGTTTTACATCTGAGAGTGCATGCATGTTTGTACGAGAGTCATGACAAAAAATTCTTTTAAAATATACCACATTGTGAGAATGGAACCCGTAACGTTTGGAGATGCATATTGTGTTACAAAATCATCGAATTTCTTAAAGTTTTCATACAAACTTTTAAAAATTGATCTGATCACTTTTTTGACTTTGCAAAACTGCTGAGTCTGCTTATGAATATGCATGTATGATATATCAAAATGATTGGCAGACTATAATCTATAGAAATATGTGCATAACATAATTTTTGGAAGCTGTTATAAGGTTTTAGGAACCTACAAATGTCAGTTTCCCTGCAAATTGTACATGCTGTACTGATTAAATATGATTTATAAGAGAGAAATAGAAGGAAAGTATGGCATATTGTATATCAAAATGAAGGTATTGATGAGTAAAATGTAAATCTTAGCTTTATTTTTAATTTAAGTAATGTGGAATTAAAAAAATGCATAAAAACCTCTATTTTGGACATACTTTATTTCACCATGATTTTTAAGGGAACTAAATGTTGAATATTGAAGAAAATCATTTCTAAAATTTATAAATTGTTCATTTTAACAGAATAAGTTTGAATAAATATTCAATTCTATGATTACCTTTGAACAATTGTAATCTATAAAGTGGCCAATTACTTTTGCTCTCTCAAAAACCTCCCTTATGGGAAAACTGTACAAAATTCAATGAATTATGAATTAAGACTTATATTAGTGTATTAGTAATAAAAAATGAAATAATTGGTGAAAATTTCATCACTTTTCGTGGTTCCAATCAAAAGATAGAGCAGAAAATGTGAGTGGCCAATTACTTTTACTCGCTACTGTACATACATCACACCAGGGACGTAGCCAGTAAGTTAAGGTAAGTGGTTTTTGGATTTTTTTAAACCAGCAAATTGAAGAAATTCTTGCTTTTAGTTTAAGTACTGTATTAGGGAGCTTTTTCCATGGACGAAGGAAAATAATGAATAAATTCAATTTAATTCAATTTTTGGGAGGTGTTAAATCCAAACCTGCTTCTTTATCATATTTACACAAAGATCTTTTCTCAAGATTCTTGAATTTGTTCATAAATACATCTTAATAAGCTCCTGCCCACGTAACCAATATCGCCGTCAATGATAAAATCGACTTAAATGTACAATTTTTTGGATGATCCAATAGACGTCGATTTTTCATCCATTACACGTCGTTTTTCATGAGCCGCTATATACTTCACAAGTGCAATCAGAAATCACTTATATAAGGCACAGCCAAATTTTCATACAAAGTGTGATTAATTAATTAAATTAATTGTATGCGAATCATTCATTTAAATGAAGACTTCGACTCTTTTTTTCAAAGACAAAATCCTTAATTAATTTTTTTTGGATTTTGTCTACAAATTATAGTATAATTAACAAAAAATATTTTCATACAAAAAGATTCAAAATTTTTCCGTTAATCGGTTTTTATATTGTAACGGTCAAAAAAAATTTGATTTTGGTTCAAAAAAATAATCGACGTGAAATCGACGTGAAATCGACTAAAAATCGTCCCTTTTCATATTAGCATAATGTCCAATGTACGATACATGGAATGTACATATGGAACATACATGGAAGATTTTGATGTAATACATAAAATCTTCCATTCGTCGACTTATGGTTACGTGGGTGATGTCCTATGTTATGAAAATATGAAGAAGACGAAGATTTTAAAAACAATCTTAATTAATCTTGAAACCCTTTTTAATTGTGGTTTTCCGTCTGTGTGAACACATTAAATGTTATTTATGATGTTGCTTATTAAATAGACTCTGCCACCAATTCTTTGCTTTACTTCTCACAAAAACTCTTTTGTTGCAACAATGGCAGTTTGCTGCATTATTATAAATTGTCTCTTCTTTTGACTAAGAAATGGAATGAGGAAGTGACAGATCCATAAAGTCAAAGAGAGTTTTAATCAAAAAAAAAAGTTTATTAATTCCTTTTTTTCTTCATCTTTTCCATAAATTTTCATTTAAAAAGTAAGGAAGAAGCTGACATTTTAATTTAAAATTCCTTAAAAGGGAGAAGAAAAGTTTTTACTTCCATTTCCCTTTCAATAAAATGAGCAAGAATAAAGGTGATGAAAAAATAATATTGTTGCTTCTATCAACTTTTCATTCAGCGCAGAGAAGATTAGAAAAGGCACTTTCCATCTTCAATTTTAGCTGTCATGGCAATTTAATGAAGCTTATCAAACATATTAGATTTATTTTTCTTTCATTTAGTACTTTAACAAGCTTAAGTTCCATATTGTGAACTGCTTTGATCGTTGAACATAAATGACATGTTTTTCATCATCGCTATTTCCTTTTAGATTTTCATTTCAGGGATGGAATGAAGGTTTTTTGGTTGTAATTGCATCTAAAGTTTTCTGCTTTACCTAATCTCCAAAGAACTTGATCTGAAGCTTGATTATTATTCAAATTTTCAAGATCAGATCTAGTTCTTTGAAGGTTTTGGTTACGATCGAATGAAAGACAACATTAATGGACAATTCCTCATCATGTTGTCTTCCCTAAGTCATGTTTTGACCCTCCAAGCTAGATAATTAGAGTAATTTGAGGTTATGTCTATATTACTTTGGTTGTGGCTATACACTGCAAGGAATAAGACGTCTAGGAGCTCCCATAAGCTTCTTGGCGCAGAACACCGATGAAAGAATGTCAGCTTAATGTGCGGACAAAGAAGTTGTACAAACTTGGTGACAGAGCCAGCAACAGAGTCAGATGGAAAGCACTTTGTAGCCTTAGCTCTACATAGGAACATGATTACACTAAGTGAGTATACCACTTTGAAATATGAGTTTCAGAGTTAAGATACTGTATTTTGAATGTTCAGCAGAAAAGAGTAACCTTCCCAACAGCTTGTCGCAAACAGGAGTCAAACCTAATCTTAGGATTTCATGTCACAGTTGCATCTAAAGCTTAGTAGAATGACAAGGCTATAAACAATGTCTTTGGTATTTTTGTTGGTGCTCCTTTGATTGATTGAGTTTATTATCCCTGAAGGGAAGTTAATTTACTTGGAAGCCTTCGACTTACAGGTTGTCCAGAATTTAGAAGCACCAATATCCAAAACAATTAAATGCTGCTTTTAAACAAGCTTGTAGCAATGCTAAATTTATATAGACTGGTTCACAACTTTCACTTACCTTCTCAAATCGTTTTAAATCATTAATCTAAAAACAGAAGCAAATAAAAGCAGATAATTTTGAGGTTAAGGTCGCTTTTTAATCAAAAACAAGTAGTGTCTAATGATAGGATCAGTTTTAACAGTGATTTTGCCAAGAATCTCAACACTGCTTCTTTATTTTCTCAATCATCCTCATTCATTCTCACACAATCGCGTCTCAACAATGAATTGCGATTAATCAAAAGCGACGACACATTAACAGCACATAGCAAAGTGTATGAAAATCGATCCGACATGAGAAATCGTTCAGCAATTCGCGAATACACGAATAATATATGTTTTTTTTTTTTTGAAAATCAATACATCCAAGTGCTTGTCAATGTGAATATAAATTTCAATCATTTAGTTTCTAGTGCAAGAAATTGACGTAGACAAATTACATTTAATTTTTCAACCGTACCAAAAGAGGTATAAAGCATTTTAAAAAATTGATTTCAAAGAGGTTTTCAATTCAATAAATTGATCATGAAAAATCACCGGAAAAGGGTTTTTCATTTTCAAATATTTATTGTTTGCTATATCCACGAACTCTGATGCTGTATTTTCCCGAAAAAATGCGATAATGTCTGTTTACCAGCCATCATTACTCACATTCACCGACCTTTCATACTGACTGATAAGAAAGATTAACAAAAAAAAATTGTTTTTCTGTTGATTTTAATTTTAAGTGTTTTATTTATTCCTTAGAATGCATAGTTTGGGGAAGTTTAATGCCAACAAACCAAAGTGATGTAAAATTTATTTGTCTTTTAAACTCTTTACTGCTTAGCATTAACAATTTGAACGAATTCTGGCTTCAATGAGGCACCGCCGACCAAGAATCCATCAATGTCTGGTTGTGAACCTAATTCACGGCAGTTGGCAGCTGTGACTGAGCCACCGTATTGAATTCTGATGGCATCAGAGACTTCGGGTGAGACATTTTCAGTGAACCATTTACGGAGAGCGGCATGAACTTCTTGGGCTTGTGCTGGTGTTGCTGTCTTTCCTGTGCCAATGGCCCATACTGGAATTTGGACATAGAAGTTTATAAGCTGTTGCAATTCATTTAATTAATTTTTTTACCTGGTTCATAAGCAATAACGACATTTGTCCAGTCCTTAACAGTGGCTGCAATAGCTTTTGTTTGACGGAAGCAGACGGCTTCTGTTTGACCAGCTTCACGTTCTTGGAGAGTTTCACCAATACAGGCAATGACTTTCATGCCTTCAGCAAGGGCAAATGCAACCTTTTCAGCAATAAGTTCGTCAGATTCACCGAAAATTTGTCTTCTTTCTGAATGTCCAATGATAACCCAGTCAGCACCAACATCTAATAACATTGATGGGGCCATTTCACCGGTGAATGCTCCGGATTTTGCCTTGTATGCGTTCTAAATTTGACAGTAAGGAGTTGGCATTAATACAAATGTCTATTTTTAGACTTTATAGCATTTAGTAATAATTACCTGACCAGCAACTCTGATGGATTCTGGGAGTAAGCTGCGAGCAAATGAAATGTAAACAGCTGGGCATCCAACGACAATCTAAAGATCCAGTAAAAGATGCAGAAAAAAAACAAAATGTCGATTAAGGGTTTGTAAAAAATCAATAGATTACATAAAACGAAAAGTAAAGCAGTTAGTGACTTTACTCACCTCAACATTTGGGTCTAATGGACCAGCAGTGAGAACTTTGCATAAATCTGTGATTGAGGCTTTTGAGCCATTCATTTTCCAGTTTCCTCCAACACAAAATTTGCGACCCATTTTTACTGTTTAATTTCAACTGCCAAATAGATAAGTTCAAAATTAGTTCCTTTATTGATGCCTTATTAATGGTTCTTAAGTGTACAATATGAGAATTAGACTGTATTTAGCACATAAATTAAAATTTTTAACTTACCGGAGAATCTCAAAGAAGAATAAATTTGACCTTTTGAAAATTTTCAATGACAGGGGCACGGTTTTATAAGTTTAACTACCTCGGTATGTAAGTTTAGTGTATTCTTTAGAGCTGTTGGCTATAGAGCATATTTAATATATTGAGTAAGGGGCCGTTCACTTATAACGTTCGCATTTTAGGAGGGAGGGGGGTTTGAAAAATTGTAACATAATGTAACTTAGGGGGGGGGGGGGGGTCAAGAAGTATGTAACGTTCTAACTGTCGTCTGTCTTTTAAAAATACGAAAAAAATTTGTTTACAAATTCACACCAAAAATTTTTTTTTTAATTTTCCACCTCTTTATCAAAATAAAATAAATTATAAACGTTCAGGGGGGGGGGGGGGGGTTGTGAGTTGTAACATTTTGTAACAAGGGGGGAAGGATGAGGGGGGGTTAAAAAAAGTCGTTTTTTGCGTAGCCCCTAAGTAAGTTTTAATGATTATGAAGTTGTTTGCAAATTTAATTCACGTGACTGATATTGATCCACGAAAAAACTACAGAAAATTCAAATTTTTAAGTTCTTTTAAATTTGTAAAATCGTTAAAAAATTAATTCATTTAAATGACTTCATGAAGATACAATATTAATGCTGACCAGGGGCGTATCTAGGAATTTGAAAAGGGGGGGACAAAAAATTTTTTTGTATGGAAAAATAAAAGAGGGGGGGGGGGGGTGTTGTGATTTTTCATAAAAAAAGAAATTTATGTTTACGTTGGGGGATTTGCCCCCCCCCCCCCTGGCTACGCGCCTGGTGCTAACGATAGAGATCATTAAGACAATGTGTCACCTAAAATCCATATTTAGGACAATTATTAGCTAACCAAGTTGTATGATCTCGGTTTGTTTACAAAACATTGCACAAAAATATTTTCTTAATTATGGATTTTATCTGTGATTATTGCAGTCTATCGTTCAAAGGACGAGGCTATTTAATGCGTCATATAGAAATGAAGCACCAAACGTTCTCCTGTAAAGCTTGCAATGCTGCATTTAAGCAGAAAAGGAATTTAATCAATCATCTTCGAAATCATTTTGAGAAATACATTTGTGAATATTGCTCCTTGCAGTTTAATTATGATAAGCTACAGCAACACATTATAACAGTACATGAGCCTCACAAAAGAGAGTACACTTATGAATGTAGATTCTGTGAGAGAAAATTCCCAAGTGCTGTATTTAGGAATTGTCATGAAAGAGATGTTCATAAAGGAAGAGAAGACAGTGCATTTAAGTGCCTGACTTGTTCAATTGTTTTTCTAAAAAAAGATCAATTAAGGCTTCATAATCTTGAGAATCATCATAAAGGATCTATTTTCTTCTGTCCATATAAGGAGTGCGACAGATACTTTAAAAATGCCAAATTACTTAAAATTCACGAGCAAGTTCATGGACTAGCTTCATATCAATGTTCGGTTAGTATTATCTTAATAATTCTTGGGCTCATTAGTTTATGACTTATTGAATATTTCTAGCAATGTGGAAGTAAATTCAAACAGTCGTCAAATTACTCAAAACACAAGAAGAGATGCAAAGGAATTGTCGAATCCAAAGACTATACAGAACAAGAATTAGAACAAATTATATTAATAGCACGGAATCAATATGATGCATTAGGTGGAAAAATCAAACAAGATATAAATACTCTTAAAAATGAAATATTAGTCAATGATAAAGCTATAGATGAGCCAATGGAACTGGACACAAAGGAAAACCAAATTTGCATTAAGAAAAACAAACAAAATAAGAGTCCTGTTCTAAAAATTGATAAACCTCCTGAATCACTTCTGATCTGCGAAATATGCGCTGTCCAGTTCGAAAGCAAAAGAGAATTTCGAAAGCATGAAAGGAAATGCAAAACTGAATCATCAGAAGTTAAAATTGGAGCTCAAACTGAAAATGTCATTCCAAATACAATAGAAACTATTAAATGCTCAGAACTAAACTGTCAGCTTACATTCAAGAACAAAATTAATCTCAAAAAGCACATTTCACAAGTCCATCTTAATGAAAGATTCTTTCAGTGTGATAAATGCGCGAAATTTTTCAAAACCAAATACCATTTAAAGCATCATTTAAAAACTCACAGAGTTCCACAAAAATGTCCAATATGTTATGTAATGTTACCGAATCTTGAAGATCACATCAAAAGGCATAAACGGCCCAAACAAGATCCATTTCAATGTCCTCAATGTAATAGACAATGTGCTTCAAAACAGGCACTTCAAGAGCATATTCAAAGAATTCACGAGAAAAAGCCTTTGGAAAAGATTTATACGTGCTTGATTTGCGATGAAAATTTTATTAGAAATTCTGATTTACGAAGACATTCGTTTTTGCATTATCAAGGAAGAGTTTACTCATGCATTCATCCAGGATGTTCAGAAATGTTTAAAACAAGCTATAAGCTGCAACTTCATCAGACTGTCCACAATGAAAGGAATGAGAAATCATTTAAATGTGACATTTGTGATAAAAGATACTCAAGACAAACTGGATTATATAAACACAGAAAGATCCATTTTAAAGGCTAAGGAATAAAAGAAATTTATTGGAGATTTACAGGAGGTTTTGTATTTACTTGAAAGTTTTTATGAAAGTCTTTAATCGTTTCCAATTGACAAGAATTAGAAGAATAGTCATATTTATATAATAAATTCAGACCTTAAGATCTATAACTGCGCGTTATATGCATTATAAGGCAAATGATAGTTTAACGAGAGAGAGTTTGCCAAATCTCCCGCTCAAGCCTAAACCAGTTTATTGTAGGATTCGAACCACTCTTCTGATGATATTTCTGCCTGTAGCCTACAAAGTACCTTGCTAAATGATAGGCTATAGGCAAACTAGCCTCATCAAGCTTCCTATTCCAAAGGCTTTTTTTTTGATTTTATGACAATTTCAAATTTTAAATAACGACAAAATAAAAATTCAAAACAGTTCTGTGGTGGATATAGAAGCTTTTTAGCACAGAAATTCAAAAATAATCGTTAAAGTAGAAAACATTAATAAATAAAGTAGAAAATTATTTTGAGTTATTTACACCAAGATTTAACAAAGCTTAAATTTTAATCAAATGTTTGAATGCAAAATAACTAGCTTCACTGAATTTAATAAACTTTCTCAAATGTTTCAAGCTGTTCAAAGATCAATAATTTAATTTTGTAATTTCGTAAGGGAACGTTCACTTATGACGCCCCCATGATGATTTAGCAAGAAAAGAACAATAGAAATTCCTGGAAATCCATTGTTCTCTTTGACAAAATGACCGTTAATTTTAGACGTCGGTAGCAAGTGGTAGCCAGCGATAGGGCCAGTTTTAGGAGCTTCTGAAGGAGGTTATGGATTTCAATTGATCTGTAAGGTCATCGAAATAAGTAAGTAATTTTAGACGTCATAAATGAACGAACAATGAAAAAATTTCAAGAAATAGAAAAGACAATTACAGCTACTAGGGGCAGGCGCGTAGCTAGAAGGGATTGTCCCTCTCCTAATCGTTTAAGGCCGTGCTCTCGCTGCGGTTCAAAAAAACATTTAAGGGGGACAAGAACCTTCTAGATACGCTCCTGACTGGGGGTCCAGTAGATGTTTTGTTCCAGAAAAATCCTGTTCAAATCGAATCAACTCAAATTGAAGTATTAACTTTTTGTATGAAAAATGTCCTTTACAAAAAAATATTTTAAATTTTCTATTCATAAATTCTTGTTACTCAAATCGAGGACCCCCAGTATTAGCAACTAAATCATACTGAAAAATTTATTGAAAACAGATCAAAAGATAAACGAAAAGAACTTGAAAGCAGCAAAAAACAGAAAATAAACACTTTTCCAAAGAAATAAAAAAAAACTTGTCATGAACATAAAAGAAAGCTAAAAAGCAGAAAATGTCTCTTTAAGATAAGCATTATTGCTATGTCGTGCAGATTTAATAGATTTTGAATAATAATAACATCCAATATCATCATTATTATCTATCTTTAAGTTAAAGCTCATAAGTATTCATTCATTCATATAAAAATATTTCTTATTTGCTCGCCTTTTAGCATAGAACTTTGTGATGGGATGTATTAAGTTTGGTTTGTCGCATTGTTACTTGGTATTGGAACTAGAAGAAGTCGTCAATGTGAGACAGGAACTCAATATAATAAAGCGAGTCTTCAGAAATCTAAACATCAAGATTAAAACCTCAAATCAAGTAGCAGCTAATAATAAACTTAAGTTCGCTTCAAACCACAATCACACATGACTCTACTCAAACTAATTTTGCTTTATTCTCTCATTGTGAAGGCAAGTTTGAAGACACATCAAACACACAAAAGCAGAAAGGAAAAATCTTTCTTTTTTTCTAGGGCATAAAAAGAGCTCAGACGGAAAAAATGAGCGATGATAAAAGAATTCAACGAACGACATAAACTTTTTTTTTATCTTTTTTTCTTCTTCTTCTTTTCTGCCTCTGTCTCATCATATACGTACAAATTATTTGCTATGATGGAAAAAAAGAAAATCTTTATCACGGATAATTTTACGTTGTCATAATGGGCACATAAAAATTCCCAAATTCCATTGACAAGATGCTGTGCGATGTTCGAATTACGCGAGTCAAAATTTGCATTTAATTAAGAGAAAATTATGTCAATAATAACGACCATGTGAAGGCAGGTTGAATGAAATAAAAATTGACATTTATCAGCGGAGAGAAAAATTGAGAAATTAACAAGTTGGGAAGTTTTGCGAGGAACTTAAGGGATTAAATAAATGTTGCATAATATAAGTGAGCTGAAGTGGCTCGGTGACAGAATGGTTCAGTACTTTGGTACCTAATTATTGCAATAATGTCACAGCGATCATTGGTTCGAGACTCGGCATGAGAAACTTATCGCTTGTCCTTTTTTGAAGCATATGTTTTGGATATGAAGCTCTGGAGGGCTACAGGCAGAAATGTCATCAAAGAAGTAGTTTGGATCTTACTATAAGCCAGAGTACGAAGTCGACTCGAAATTTTCATCGATTTTGTATGGCGGAGTCAACTCCATACAAAACTTTATCGACTTCGAACTCTGCTATAAGCTGTTGATCCAAGGCGATATGCTTACCACATATCCTCACACTTAAGCTTGTCAATAAGTCATACTTTAACGTTGAAATCAAGGCCTGAACTCCTTATCATTCACTTCTAATATTCATGGACTTGAAGTAACTCAATCAACGTCTAGGATCAACGTGGTCGGACAGGAGCGACGACAGACGAGTTGCAGTTACACCGTTCCAGAAGCCTTTGTCTGAATTTAATAAATTTCTTCTTAACAATCCTATCAAACTCGTACAAGTCACATCGACAAACCAACATCACCAACCCAGCACACTCCAACAAAAGCCCATCGAAGCATCGAAGCAATTTGACATGAAGGAATTAAAATGAAGTCATTGAATTTTTTTCCTCTCCTCCCGTATGTTTGCATGGCGTGGAGAAAGTTCATCGATGCTGAAAAATAATTATTTTTTGAATGCAAATTATGTCATTCTCTCTTTTTTGTGTGTGCCTCACCATCTCGTCCTCCACATGGCAGCAACAAATATTCATGAAAAAAAAAAAATTCGTTCAACGATGGTAAATTTTCCCACACACAACGTGGGGAAACACTTTGTTGCCACCAATTTTGCACATATCTTTTCAGGAATTAACGTCTATTTGCGGTTGAAAATCATAAATGTCGTCGTATCGTCGTATATGTGGTATAAATTTTATGAGTTCTGCCTACGATTTTTTTGAAAAAACTTTTTTTTATGTGCCGACACACTACCGCAGCATCGTATATCGTGGAGTGCTGTATATAGTGTTGATATGTGAAAAAATCAGAGTTGAAAAGCACAAGAGCAAATATCATTAATTTTGACATTAAAACCAAACATGCAAATTTATATTGTGATGCCCGAGAAGTGCATGTGCTTGATTTTCTGCTCATGTTGTTCTTTAACTGATTAATTAAATCTTTAGAACCTCCTGCATCCCTCTGTCACAAAATTTTGATACAATTGCCCTTGACAGTCATTTATTAAGCGTACCTCTTAATTCTAAGCATCCAGTAGCCATCGTCTAGACAACATTTCAATGTCTCCCGGATAACCTTAATTTTTCAATAGCTTGACACAATAAAATGATCGAAAAATCTTAAATCGCTTTCATACAGTCATCGGGAAAATTATTTTGCACATTATTTCAGTATGTAAATGTTCAGTTCTTCATTTTAGCACAGTTTCATGGCATGTGACGTGAGTGAGCAAATGAAAATGATTACAAAAACCTCGGAAAACAAATACAAAAAATGTTTGTCCTTTATATTGAAGCTATAAATTGTACACAAATGAATTAATAACTTGATGATGAGTGCATTTACTCCAGGATTTTTCACTGTCAGCAATCGTCCACAACAAGCACAAAATAATTTCTTTTATTTACATTAAAAACACACGCTGAGCTGCCTTATTCGCATAGGGAGTGTATGAAATTTATATGAGCGCGAGAGGCATATCTCATACACAATATCATTATTACAGCAACAGTAACAGTTTTCAACAGTTTTAATGAAAAAAGAGTGCCGCGTCATGCTCACTTTTATTCGCTCTATACATATTTATATGTTTATGTTTTCCCGAAGGTTTGGCTCTGCAAATTAAATAATTAAATTTTATGCTTATACATACATGAGGAGCATTATAGTGGCTAGACCTCAGGCTCTTTCTCTTTTCTTTCACATACACATACTTTCCTTTAATTTTTCGTCCTTTCACCCACTCAGCTGTTCATGTCTGTTTTGTTCACAGCATTTTAGGTATCTTAGTAGCTTATATCCTGTAGCTGTTGAACTTTTTATTGAATAGTTGTGTAGACTTTTAGCTGTAACTTGAATTAAGATTAGTTTTTGTTCTTTCCCAAATTGCAAGTCAGTTAATTTATCAGAAATCCTGCACCAAGCCGGTGTGACTCTGGCGTGGTGCTGTATTTTATTTAAAGCATGGCCAGAGCCATTTCGACTTGGCTCAAGATTTATATTCGGTTAACCGACTTGTGCCATTCGGATTTAAATGTCTTTTGAGGATCGTTCTTTAATGACGTCATCTCCATCTTGTCACAAAATACTCGAAAAATTGTTGAAAGTCTCCATTAAAAAATTCTAGTGCAGTGCCACACTTCTGTACAGCAAAAAATTTGCCAGCCTTCCTGGTGTGACTGAAGGACGACGGCATGAAGTGTCCAATCACTTTGAAACTTTACCAGAACTAAGTCCGTATTACGTCCTATTGCGTTTACCAAAAAATAATTGCGACCTACTTCATGTGACTATATTAAGCAAGTTCCAATTTTGCGTACTTATACCGTCGTACTTCAGGTTTTAAAACGACATCATTTCCAAATATCAACTTTATTGGACATATTACATATTAAAATTGACCTTCTAATTACGTCCAATTATATGCAATATGGACTTAATTCTGAAAAAGTTTAAAAGTGATTAGACACTTCATGCCATCGTACTTCAGTCACA